ACGCAGTCCATCCATCCCAGGATGACTGAACTGTCACATGGGGGACTCTCTCTTCACCCTACCCAGTCTTGGACTCCAGGATCGCTTGCTTGCTGGCAAGAGGTTCCTACTGAGTGAAGTTCATACACATCCCAAAGTAAGTTCCCTGACCAGAGCAACGTCCCTTACACGCCCAGATCTTCCCGTGAGCATCCTCCCTGTAGAGTTGGGGGCATCCAAGGCTCAGAGAGGTTGAGAGACATGCCCAAGGTCACCGAGAGCACAAGCAGCCCTGACCTCAGCCTCCCCCTCCCCCAACACAGCTGACAACATCCAGAAGCCACCATGACCTCCCCCTGCAGAGGCACACCCAGAACTCCAGAGACCAGGTTCATCGCGGACCCTACCGCTCCTGCAGAGCCTCAGGGATGCTCAGCATCCCTGATGGAGGAGAGGCTACCTCTCCTCCCAGGACATGGCTCAGTCCTCGCAGCCTCCCCAGGTCCCTCGACCCCCGCCCCTGAGGGCCCACTCTAGTCCTTTTCACTCGGTGTCCTTGGGCTTCTGCTGAACCATCCCCTCTACAGAAGTCACCCCTGAAGCCGCCGTCTGACTCGATCCCCCCGGCTAGACTTTGCCATCATGTCTCCTTCCCGACCCTCTGTGCACCTGTGTGTTGAGCAACTCTATCTCCCACCTTCCATGAGCTGTGACCGTCCCCCTGCTGCAGCCTCCTCCTCCCCCAGAAGGCAGGGTTTGGGAGGGTGGCGGTGGCGGGGAGTGGGGGTGGTGGTCCAGTTTCCTCTCCTGCTCCCTTCCCCTCTCCCACTAGAGGGGCTTCCTCCAAGGACCCCTCTGCCTCCCAGGCTTTCCACCACCCAGATTTTGGCCAGTTCATCCTGTGAGAAGGTTCTTCCTCACAGGCTAGAGGAGACAGGAGGCTGCGTATTTTGTAATGAACTTTGTGACCTGCTTTCCTATTTTACCCCTTAAAAGCTGACTCTTAAGCCTTTCTGATTATGTCCTATTTTAGAAAAGTTAAATGTTACTTTTTCCTGGGTGAAAGAGAAACATTTAGCACTTATAGAATATTTGGAGACTACAGAAAAAGAAAATAAAGGAAAGAAACTCACTCAATAACTCTACAAGCAGAGATAACCAAGATGAATGATCCCATGCACTTTCTCACACACACACACACACACACACAAAAACACACACACACACACACACGTGTTCATCCCGTCATCCACTCTGCTTTCTCTAAAAGCCTCACTTAAGATGTTTAACTCCTGGGCTGATACTCTTGTTCTACTCAGGCACAGAGAAGCAGCTGTTATCCCTTCCCCACATGCCTGCCTAACAATCGCGCTCCCCTTCCTCTTTGTGAGGAGCCTGAGGTTGGCTTGAGGCCAGCCTGGGGCAATGTCCACAGCCCCTACATTTCAATTCATCAAGGACTCGCAGCATTGAAAATGCCTTTCTGGGCCATCCCCTCCCTCCTTGGGAAGACAGACGTGATGCGGGGCTCTCTCGCCTTTGTCCCACTCCCGGGAAGCCTGAGGTGAGAGAACAGCAGGTTGGGGACGTGAGGGGGTCCCACGCTTGCCCCCTCCCCAGTGACTCTCTGGCCTCTGGTTCCCCGGAGGTCCCTGGGCCAGGACCACCACTCTGTCCTCATTCTGGGCCCTGACGATTGGGGAGGGTCTTTGGGGGTCTCTGAGGGCTAAGAAATGACCCATACCACCAGGGTTTGGCCACTTCCTGGCTCCCATTTATTCCCGTCCCTCCCCAGCACCCAGGCCTGTGACTCGCTGAGGCTGAGCTGGATGAGGGACAGGAGATGAGCGGAGCTCGGAAGTGACCCTTGAACCCCCACTCCACAGGCCCAGCAGGAACAGGATACTGGGAGCTCCAACGTGCCTGCTCTTTAAGACTGGCCACTTCAGTCCAACCAAGCTCTGGACTGCAGAGGACTGCCTTGGGGCCCCAAGACTGAAATATCTAGGAGTGTGACCCAACCCAGGGAGACAAACTCACAAGTTGGGCCACATGACCGCGCCCTTAGCCAGACAAGAACCATCCTGCCTGTCTGTTCACATGGCCTCCAGGCTGACTGATGTGGCCTCAGATCAACCAAGGGGTGGTGCGGGTCACTGGCCTGGGCCTCCCTGCCACGCATGCTCGCATCTGCTTCCAAGTGTCTCCCTGGCCAAGGCCAAGTTTGTCACTAGGGTTGGGGGACTGGTGGGCAAGTAAGCTGAAAGTTGTACCTTGTTAAGTTTCAGGGCTGCGGGGCAAGGTGCTTTCCCCCTGGCCCCTGCCTGGCCTCTGGGGACTGGAGAACTAGGACCTCTTCCCCTGTGGCCCAGCCCTCTCCTGCACCCTCGTCTCTGGTTCCGAGGTCACCATCTCCTCACACAGATATAAGGATGCAGGGAGAGCGCATTCTTAGAGCGTCTGCCGGGAACAGCAGGCGGGGGTCCAGGAGGGGAGGCTCTGTGGGTGTACCTGCTGGCCTCTGGGCCCAGGAAGAGTGAGGCCCAGCTCTCAGGGAAGAGGGAATCTGCTCCCCTTCAATGAGCAGGAGCAAAGCAGCGTGGGGAGGGGGGTCTGGTGGGTGGGGCACTGGGTAGGCAGAGCCCAGGGGAACTTACGGTCACTGCACTGTGAGAGAAAGAGCAACGTTTTGCAGATTTCGAAGGTGAGGTAAAGCCTCTCCAACTCTGCCATGGGGTCTTCAAGGAAGTCTCGAATGCACACATGCTTTTAAGGGGAGTAGACTCTTTCTGGGGGACATGAGAAGAGGCTAGTGCAGGACGGAAATGGAGGCTAGAGGCTGGGCCACAGGGGTGGGGTGGGGGGGCACCTGGCGTCTGGATCGTCAGTGTCGCCTTGAATCTCCAGAGCAGGCAGTCTCCTGTTCCCCTCAGGAAGGAGGGGCCGGACTGGGCGCGGGGTCCCAAGGAGATGAGAAATGGGGGTAGGGTGCTGTTCCGAGGGCCCTGGAGGCAGGCTGAGCACCTGCACCAGCAGGTGCTTGCCAGGGAGCTCTCCAAAATGGCCTGTTAGAGACACTTGGAAGTAGAGTGAATCCACCGCTAAACTCTAAGTTGAATCTACTGCTAATCCCAAGTGGAAGAGAAAGAACCCAAACGCCAAAGCGTGCGGTGTTCCCCTCTGAGTGGAACACAGCACTATGTCCCTAAGGCGGGAATTCTCTCACCCTCTGCCTTCCTGGCAGCTCCCCTCTCAGTTGTGGGGACTCAGCAGGAACCATGTCCGCCAGCCTCAAAGACTAGCGAGGTGTTTGGCAGGGAGAACCTGCTTAATAAACAGCTTTGAATGAATGAGTGAACGAATGAACGAAAAAATAGATGAGTGAATGAGTGAGCGAATGGATGAGTGAATGAATAAATGAATGAAGGAATGGAGGAGTAAATGAATGAACAAATGAATGGATGAGTAAACAAAGGAATGAATGAGTGAATGGGTGAATGAGTGAATGGGTAAATGACGGAAGGGATGAGTGAACCATGAGCAGGTCCAGGTCTAGGTACTATTCAGGCTTGTGTGTGGTTGGGGAGACGCTGGGTTGCCTGTAAGCCCCCTTTCCTCACGGTCGCCCCAGGAGTCCCCTGATTGGTGCTGAGTCAAACCTCTGCCAGTCAGATCTGATGTCTGCCTGCTATCTGTCTGGCTTTCGCCCCCTGCTGGGGTAGCGGGCCCACAGAGAGGGGGCCTGTGCTCCCCAAATCAGAGCCCGGCAAACGTCCCTCCAGGAGGCCTGGGGCGGGACAGAAAGAGGAGCTCCGAGGGCTTAGGATGTCATCTCCCCGCACCCAGCCCCCCAGCTAGGGTATCACCAGGACAGACAGACAGGCTGAACGACGTGGGGCCAGGTCCTGCAGTGTCACAAGAGGCTCTGGCTGAGGCATGGTCATGACCACGTGGGCCCTGCGGTCGGCGGAGGTGGATGTGGGTCTGCTCTGCCCCACAGGGGCCAGTGAAGCAGGACCACGCCACCTGTCTGCGCCTTGCTGTCCACAGATGTGAAGCAGGGACGTTTTACAGGTAACCCCCGTGTCGGAGGGCTTGAGGACTGGGAGAGACCAAGACAGCGCCTGGCACACGGGGAGCCCGCAACAAAGCTCACCGTGCCCGTACCCCGTCCCTCTGCCCCGTGGGGCCCCGCCGGCGGGCTGCACCTCCCCTCTGACCACCTATGACTGTGGGGCCGAGCACCCCGGGAGGGGCACGGGTGTGGGTGTGCGTAACTGAGGGTGAGCCTGTGTGTGCCTGTGGGCCCCTGTGTGCACAGGCTAGAGGAGGAGTTACTTTGCAGGACGATGCAAGCCTACTTCTGCGTCACTGGATGCCCCCCACCCCCAAGAACTTGAGTCCCCACGAGGCCCGTCACCACCGGCGGCGCCAAGGTTGCGGGAACTCCCGGTTCACAGGGTCCCTGTCTTCCCAGAGCCCACCTGGTGCCTGGCACAGAGAAAGTGTCAGCACGTGGAGGAGGGAGGCGCGGGCAGGACTTCCTGGGGCGGACGCACTGGCTGCAGGGAAGCTTGGGCAGAGTCCCCTCGGCTCACCGGTGCCCAGGAGGGTGGGTGTCAGCCCGGGGCCACAGGGGTGCAATGCTCTCAGACCCCACCAGGCGGAGCCACATGTCCGTCTCCAGACCCACTTCTCAGGCTTCTGCTTTCGAGAACCCACATCTCAGTCCTTGGTAGCTCGGCCTGAGGGAGAGGTGCTGGCCTCCAGACTCCTGGGACGACTCTGGACCAGAGGATGAGGAGGGCCGCCAGAGCAGGGGGAGGGACCCTCGGAGGGACCCCCCACCCCACGCCCATCCTGTTCGGGCGGCCTCCCTGCCCCTGGGCCGCGCTGACCTGTGGAGCCATGGGGCAGCCCCCGACAGGCTGGGTGAGGAGGATGGGGCTGGCCTCCAGCTTCCTGGGCCACCCCCCCGAGCGACTCCCCCGGGAGGGAGGCCCAGCCCAGGCCACACTCACCTTTCCAGCCCTGAAGACATCTCTTCACTAAACTCTGAGCTCTCACTACTGCCTGGAAAAGGAACACAGATGAGTGAGCGGGGCAGGCTTGCGGAAGCGGGGCGGGCTTGCAGGAGCGGGGCCACTAGAGCGGCCTGTTCTCTGCCGAGCCCAGGCCCCAGAGGGACACCGCCTGACCCCGGGGGTGTCAGTGTGGCTCGGGCTCTGCTCTGCTGCTGCTCTGCCTGACACTCGGCCCACCCCGGCCCATGGTTCCCAGGTGGGCCCTCCTCTCCCTTCCTTGCCCGCTAAGTGCTGCGGCTGCCCGCACACCAGTCCCCGGGGTCAGGACCCTTCGGACTCTGTCTTGGCCTGGCCTGGCTCCACCATTGCCCTCCTTCTGGCCCAAGGGAAACAGAGGCCAAACAGGGGCCAGACGAGCACTTCTTCCTCTAAAGGTCAGGGCTGGACTAAACGCGGGCCGCGGAGCAGCTGCCCAGCACCGGACAGAAGCCCCCACGGAGAGCCCTTTCAGAGCCCGGGGCAGTGTGCACACAGAGGGCTCGGCTTTTCCCTGGCCTGCCCCCGCAGAGCTGACTGGGACTCACCAAGGCCCAGCTTTGGCCACAAGGAAGCAGAGAGATTTTCCTTGGAGGCGCCTGGGTTCTGCCCTCTCTGCCTGGGCTGCCTGCTGGCACCACAGCTGGGCAGTGGGAGTGGGGGGGGGGTCCCAGGCCCCTTGGCAGTTCCAGGACACAAGGCCCAGTTCAGCCCCAAGCAGGGCACAGGCATAGAGGGCCCCGAGCTCCCAGCTCCAGCTCCAAACAGAAAAACCTGAGTGTTGGGGAACTGCCCCGCCTGGTGACCTGCCGCCTGGACACCGGATAGCACAGCATCTGACTTGGTTTTCTGTCTCAGGAATAGCAAGGCTTCGGCTCAGGCACAGCTCTGGAAATCTCCTGGATGTAAAAGAGCTGTTCTGCTGCCCAGCCCAATGCTCTCGGGCCGGCGTTTCCCAGGCGATCTCTGAACCCCATCCCACAGGATTCTCCAAGGAGAAGGGTTCCGGCCCAGACAGTGTGGGAACCTTCGGGCTCGGCTGACTCCCGGGAGACCCACGATGCCCATCAGCACAGTAAAGCCTCTGGGAAGAGACCCGCCACCCTGGTGTAACCCAGCCTTTCCCCAACTCACAGACCCTGAACTCTTCTCCCAGCTGCACCTAGGAACCCCGGGCTACACTGTCCCAAGCTGGCGGAAACCCCTGACCGGGTCCAAGGAGGAGAACCTCCTCCCTGGACGGACAGCAGACACGGGCCTTGCTTGTCACACACTTTCTAGGAAGTGGGAGCCAGGTGCCCCCTTGCGGCCACACTGCCTCAGAGACTGGCCCCATTTCACGGGATGTGAGATTCCCGCCCGATTTTCCTGCACATACCACGTACCTCTTCCTTCCCATGCGCTGGGGCCCTCCACCCTACTGGTCTCTGTCTAACCTGCTGCCAGCCCCGGGAGGGCTCCCTGTTAAGACAGACACACAGACACACAGACTACAGAAGCACAGCACACTGAAAGGACACGGCCAGCGGAGAGCACACCCGTCTGACGGCAGAAGTGACTGGGTGACCTGGACTCCACGGGGGATGGACCTGTGACCAGAGCTCAACGCCATCCTTAGCTCTGACACCACCACCCACCATCTCGGCCCCAGCAGCTCAGCTTCTGTCTTTCTGTTGACATAAGCACCATTTCTGGCTGAAGTTCAGACATACATTTTCATTCCAGAAGGTCAATTTTTCATCCTCTTTTACTTTGGCTTCTCGGTATGAAGACAAGCGATGGGGAGCACCCCGGGGCCGCCTTGCTGCCGTCCCCAGGCACTGTCTCCTCCTTTGCCCTGCGGGCCAGGGTTTGTGGCTCCCCAAGGATGGAGCCCCGCAGGGGCAGCAGCCACCAGGCTTTGGCAGTCGCCTGCCAAGGACTGTGGGTCTCAGGTACATGTCCGTCCCCCGTTTCTTACCCCTCTCAGGGCCACTGGCAGGATGAGGACACACCCAAGGCCCTTTGTAAAGCCTTGGAGACTGGGAAGCAAAGGCCTCTTTGGCTCTGGTGACGCCTGCGGGGAGCCCTCTCTGCAGGGGGCTGCAGGGCCCCCGGGCACTGCAGTGACGGAGACAGACACAGACACGCCGGGCCGTGGCCCACCTGCTGTCGTGTGCAGGCCGGGGACGCTTACCGAGGGAGAGTCCGTTGGTGACGGCGGAGGAGGAGGCGAGGGCGAGGCCCCTGCGGGGGCTGCGGGACTCTAGGACACTGTCGTCTAGCAGGTGCCTCGCTTTCTCCGACGGGAATGTCGCGCTTTTACTCTCAACTACACTCAACTGACACATCATACTGGAAAACGGAAAGGAAGAAAGAAGGCAAAGCTCCTTATCTACGGAGCAACAGTGGTTCCACCTGCCCCAGGTGGATCCAGGGGCCTGAGCAGAACGGCACCACTGCAGGAGAAAGACCCTCACCCAGAACCGCAGTTCTATCTCCCCATGGCGTGACCTTGGGCAAGTCACATCGTTTTTCTGAGCCTCCGTTTCTCTGGCAAATGGGGACTCATGCTACTCACGCTGCCTGTCTCCCAGGATGACTGTGAGGCTCAGGTGAGCAGATGGTGCTTTCGAGTGATGAGGCCAAACAAGCAAAAAGACGGCTGGCCTTGTGGTCAGCACACCTGCTTCTGGAGTCATACACCTGGTCTAAGTCCTTGCTCCACCCTTACCCACCACTGCCAGGAGCTTCTCCTGTCGGACCTCCTGGCCTCATTCTTACATGAGTCAGGCAGTGCGTACTCCAGAGGCCTGCAGGGGCCCAGTGAGAGGAAGCTGGACAGGCACGTGGCAGTGTATCCAGCACTGAGCAAGCTCCGGACTCTAGGAGACGCAAGCCTTTTCTCCCTCAGGCCTAGCCTGGGCTCGCTGAGGCTTGTGTCTTAATGGTAGGAAGATGAAAGGAAGGAAGGAACAGAGAGAAGGAGAGAGAGAGAGGGAGAGAGGGCAGAAGGGATCCAACTGCTCAGAGTTCTGTGCCCAACACCCAGGGGACATGCGCACAGCTGCCCAGCCATGCTAAGGACCACACATGTCCCCCAGCTGTCAGCCCCATGGAGCTGGGGGAACCTGCAGCAGGCTCTGGGCTCTTCAGGCTTCCTGTAACTTTCAGCAAGTGGAGATGCTGAGCCCTGACACACAGGTGCCATGAGATACCACATGCTCCCTGGAGGACTGTCATGGTGTTTCCTGGACTCTAGGGTTTTCTTTCCACGAGGAGACACTAACCGAGCTTGGGCAAGCCAGCTAGAACCCACCACTGCCTCCCTGCCCTTCCCTGCACTCCTTCTCCATCAGCTGCTGAGCCCTGGAGCAGTGTCACCAGTACACGGGCAATGCAGCCACGGCCACCCCAGCCCTTCCTGAGCCCATGCCAGCCTGAGGAGGGGGCACCAGCCTGGAAGACCAAGAGTGCCCATCAGCAGCTCCCACACGGGCAGGGGAGGCCCGGGTGGGCTGGCATCCCCAGCAGCTCTTCAGCCCCGCCCCATGCTCGGTCCTGCCCCGACCCCGGCATCGGGGGCTCACGCGGTCACCCACTTGTTGCCCAGACTGTGGCTCTTCCTGTGTCTCGGGACCGGGGGCGTGGGGAGGCTGCCGGCCACAGAGGTGTCCGGACAGGTGGGCCGCCGGCTGAACCTTGCGGAACTGGAGCCGCTGGACGGACCTGGAACAGAGCACAGAGAGTGAGGCGAGGGGCTGGCGAGGCTCAGGGGAGGTGGGCTGGGTTTGGGGGGAGACCCCTGGCTCAGCTGACAGGAGGGGGCAAGGTTCCCCAAGCCCTGTAGCTGTCTACCCACGAGACCCCGACCCCTCACCCTCAGCTGCCAGGCACGTTGTGATACACATAGTAAGCCTGACAACAGGCCGTCAGGATGGCCAGCATCCTGCTGTGCACAGCGTCCCTGGCCCGACAGCCCCGCTGCCCACGTGGAGGAGAGCGCCATGGATGGACGAGGGGTGGAGGCGGGGGTCTGCAGCCTGGCCTGTTTCCCCTGGGGTGGTACTTCTCCACAGCTACCCCGCTGGGGGACAGCGTTGAGCCTTAATAGTGTGACTTCTGAGTCCAGGTCCAGGGCCTGTACCCCTGTGCCCTTTCAAGGCCAGACTCTCTTCTGAAGCACATGTCCAACCAAAAGGGATGTGTGCAGGGCTCACTAGGGGCAGTGGATTAACTGGCAGGCAGGGTGTCAGACACCCAGGCCCATCCGTTATTGCCTGGGTGACCTTGAACGGGTTGCTTCCTCTCTGAGCCTGTTTCCTCATCTGAAAGGTGGGAAGAAGGCACTCACCCTGCGGGTAGCCGGGAGAGGTCTTGGGGTATCATACGCAGAGTTTCACAGTTAGTGCTCACTCTGGTTTTATTATGATAATGTTACCCTGTCCTCCTCAGCCCCAGTCATGGGGCCAATGGAAGGTCATCAAAGCCAGGGGGTTGGGGTCACAAACCCCACTGAGCAGCATGTGCTGAGAGGCTGAGCCCTTCATGATAGCCACATTCACAGCTATTTTCTGTGGGGCGTGGTCTAGACCACTGTTGTCTCTTTAGTTTCTGTGGTTGTGATTTGGGAAGGGAGGTCTTGAGGTGTTAACCAAGCTGGGTTCTTGGACTCGAATCAACAGAAACGGTAAGAGATCAGACGAAGAATTCAGGCAAGGCTTTAATCAGACTCACAAGGGAGCAAAAACAAGCAACAGGTTCCCTTGCTTGCTCCCTGTGGGGAGGCGACTTGGTTCCTTAAATGGGGTGAGGGCAGGGGGAGATCAGTGGGTCAGGCCAGAGGGGTGGCCTAAGTGGTCTGCCCGCCCCCTGGTGGTGCTGCATGGAGGGATCACGGGCAGTATCCTGCTCCAGGCACCTCAGAAGTGGCAGGATTTTGGCCCTTTTGTATCTTATTGTTTGAAATTTGCCCCAATTGCACATGCCTGCAGTTATTTTTAGTCCCTCATAGTTTCTTTGTATCTGCTGCTCAGGAGACGTTTGTCCAGGTGCAAGCACTGCAGTAAAGAGCCCCAGGTCTCAAGTCTATGTCAAAGGGAGGTGACCCCAGATGACAGCTGAGCCATAGCTACCTGGGCCAGACACTGGAAATGGGAGCCAGGGTTTCCGCAAAGGGGCTCGGTCACTTTCGGTGGAGCACATCGAATGCGGGGCAAACCAGGGGGCTACTGCCTGGCTGTGCTGGGGAACATCCTGGAGGGCCTGTGAGGCCAGAGGTCCACCCAGGGCTCCAGATCCTCCACCACAAGATGCTGCAGATCCACTAATGACCTAAGGGTCCCCGTGTCCTCCAGCAGGCTTGGCTCATTCTTATTTTGGCATCCAAAACAACGACCCTTGTCCCCAACCTGTCCACTATGGGAAGTCCAGCTTCTGGCACTTCGGAGGGTTCCCGATGCAAGGAACTCACGAAATCTCAGGTTCTGACCTCCCACTCCCAGCGATCGTCCCACCCCCCTGTGCCTCCTCCACATCCCACTCCCTGACCCCCACATCCTCTTCTTCACTCCCCTGAGGCCCCACCACTAAGCCCTGCACTAGGTCTCCGCGGTTCCCTTCAACAACTATTCCCAGGTGTCAACCCCTCCTTCAGCTCCCCTGCAAAACTATCAGACCCTCTCCCCTCCAAAATGCTGCCACTCTCCTGCCACGGAACACTGTGCCTGTTGGGTTTGGTTGCCCTCAATCGCCAAGTGCACCTCTGGTGACAACAGGCTTCCTGCCAGGCCCCCGGGGAACAGGGACCTCCGCCCCAACCTACTGTTCCCTCTGAGAATTCACTGCACCACTTCCCCCTTCTCCTGCTCACTCCATTCCCCAGTTCCTGCATACACTCTTAGTTTCTCTCCTTCTGCAAAAGAAGGTCCCCTGGCCCGGCTCTCCTCCCAGGCGCCACACTTCCTCAAAAACTGGCCTGCCCCCGACTCCTCTTCCGCCCCCTCACTCACTCCCCGAGTCACTAAATCTGGTTTCCATTTCCTAATGACATTTCCATTGACCTCCTTTGGACCAAACCGTCAAGCACTCATTGGCTTCCTTGCCAGCGCCCTTGGCGGCTGACGCAGGCGACCACTCCTCGTAAGCCTCTGCTTCCTGGGTGCCTGTGATGTCACTCGCTCCTGCTTCTCCCTGAGCCTCTTCTATTGCTGTCACTCGGCCTCCTCCATGGGTTCCTTATCCCCCAGTGGCTGGAATTGTCTATACAAGCCTCCCTCTTTGGCTCCTGGTTCTGATTTGATTTTAACTCAGCAGGTTGGCTGATGACTCTTAAACCTTTACTGCCATCCTTTTGTTGTTGTTTGTTTTAAAGAGCAAGGGAGCTTATGGAAATGCACAACAGTTATTTATTTTTAAAATATTTATTTAGTTACTTGGCTGCACTGGGTCTTCATTGTGGCATGTAGAATCTTTAGTTGCAGGCATGTGGAAGTTAGTTCCCTGTCAAACCCAGGTCCCCTGAATGGTGAGCCCGAGGAGTCTTAGCCACTGGACCATCAGGGAAGTCTCCAGCCATCCTTTTTTTTTTTTTTTTTTCAGCCTGAGACCTGCATTTCCTTCTGTTGGCTTGATCCCTTCATCTGAACTTCCCTAAGATATCATAAGTTCAGCCAAGGTTGAACTTGAACCCTCTTCCTGTATTTCCAGCCTTGGCTGGAGGCCCTGCTGGCCACTCAGTCACCTGGCCTGGAAGGAGCAGTCATTGGCTTCTCCCAGACTGTGACTTGCCTTTTCTCTTTTTACTCGGTTCAGTTCAGTCGCTCTAGTCATGTCCAACTCTTTGCAACCCCATGGATTGCAGCACACCAGGCTTCCCTGTCCATCACCAAATCCTAGAGCCTACTCAAACTCACGTCCATTGTGCCAGTGATGCCATCCAACCATCTCATCCTCTGTCATCCCCTTCTCCTCCCGACTTCAATCTTTCTCAGCATCAGGGTCTTTTCCAATGAGTCAGTTCTTCGCGTCAGGTGGCCAAAATATTAGAGTTTCAGCTTCAGCATCAGTCCTTCCAATGAATATTCAGGATTGATTTCCTTTAGGATGGACTGGCTGGATCGCCTTGCAGTCCAAGGGACTCTCAAGAGTCTTCTCCAACACCACAGTTCAAAAGCATCAATTCTTCGGCACTCAGCTTCCTTTATAGTCCAACTCTCACATCCATACATGACTACTGGAAAAGCCATAGCTTTGACTAGATGGACCTTTGTTGATAAAATAATATCTCTGCTTTTTAATATGCTGTCTAGGTTGGTCATAGCTTTTCTTCCAAGGAGCAAGTGTCTTTTAATTTCATAGCTGCAGTCACCATCTGCAGTGATTTTGGAGACCCCAAAAATAAAGTCTCTTACTGTTTCCATTGTTTCCCCATCTCTTCTTATTCACCACACACAATCACCAAGACCCCTAGGTTTTGTACACCCCGTCCCTGTCCATCTCTCTTGTCACTGACTGGTCTGAGTTGCCACACTTTCTTCCTGCAGCCAGTCTAAACTTCTCAAATCCAACCATCATACAGATTCATGAAAGTCTGATAAGTGAAAAGCCTGAAATGGTCAGGGGCATGGTGCTCAAATCCTGTTATACCTGGTCATTTCGGCTGATCTTAAAATCCTGAAGAAGAAGAACAGGATAAAGTAGTCACAACAAATCTTGAGAAGAACAGCATAGGACTTGTCCTACCAGTTATCAGACCAAAACACAAGACAAAAGTAATTCAAACAGTCTGGTGTTGGCACGTGGACAGAGAAACTGTTCAGTGAATCAAAGTAAGAGTCTAGACTTCTTCATGGTGGCAGTGGCATTACAAGTTAAAGGGAAGGCAGGGTCTTTTTAGTACATGGGTCTAGAACTCTTAGGTTCCATGTGGGAAAAGATGAAATCATTGAGTCCTCCTACCTTACACTATGCAAGTGGATTAATGACATATATATGAAAAGCAAAAATGCCAAACTACTGGAAAGAAAAAGGAGACTACCCTTATGACCTTGGGGAAAGGAAAGAAACAAAAGGCATAAACCTTCAAGGAAAAAAAATGAGGGAAGAGAGGCTCAAGAGGAAGGGGATAAATGTATAATTATGGCTGATTTATGCTGGTGTTCGGCAGAAACACAACACTGTAAAACAATTTTCCTCCGATTAAAAATTACATTTTAAAAAATGAAAAAATTTGATTAAACATTTGTGTACCAAATCAAGCCAATAAACAAGACAGGAAAAGCAACATTAGATGGCAAGGTGTAGTCTGAGAGAAGGAATATGTCACCCACATCACCATCAAAGGGTTCCGGTTCAGATTTATAGAGAACTTCAAATACCAGTAAGAAAGAGATATACGCCCCAAGAAAATGGGCAAAGGAAACAAATGGGAAATTCACAAAAGAGGAAATGACCTCAGTGACCAATAACTATATGGAAAGATGCCTTATCCTCACTGGTAATAATGGGAATGCAAATTACAGTAAAATTGAGATACATTTTCAACTCACTAGATTGTTAAAAATGATTAGCCTGATAGTATCAAATGTGAATGCTAGTTAAGGCTCATTTGTGTGTCAAATACTTGAAAAGCAATTAGCAATGCTGAGTAAAGGTGAAGATGCCATGCCTTCATGGCATCACTGTGACCCCGGCATTCCAATTCTGGGTGTCTGCCCTCAGGAAACGTG